TTTGCAAGAATATGTTTCTAAAATTTCTCATCCTCGTACTAAATATCGCAGCAATGTATTACTTGTTGAAAAAAGATGATGAATATGTGAATATCAAATCCGATAGAGCGCGCGAGAGAATTCCAGGCTGAACTTGAACAAATTAATTCTACGAATTTCTATAAAATAGGTATCTAGTCCAAAAATCACCTAGTTCGATTCTATTTTCTCTGAATTTATTTAATATTTATAAAATGTAATTCTCACAAACGCAAAGTGATAATAAAATATCATAAATAATATAGTTCAGGTAAAGGAAAAAAAGTTTCTGAACCATCTCTCTTTCTATAGACAAAAAGAGATACGAAAAACTTAACTCTTGATATGTAAGAAAACTCTCAAAAGGCTCAAAACCTAATGATATATGTATTTACTTTCAATTAAATAAATAATTAATGAAATAGTTTTTTTATTGCTATGAATTATTACAAATATATACCGATACACTGTCAGAAGATGTTTCTAAAATCATAATGTCGTTACATTTTTTCAAGGGAAAAAATGAAATTATATATTTAGGGAGTCAAAAAGTTAAAAGAAAAGTTATACATCGCTATTTTTAATTTTACACTTTACAATGTGAGCATGAAAAATATTTAATTCTGCAAGTTTTAATCTACTTGAAACAATATAGGTTGCTGCTAATTGTCCAAAGGAGTAACTTCACGAAAAGATCCAAGCACAATTTCTAATTCTATAGACTCTTTACTTAATTTTAAATAAAATATAAACTAAACTCAGACACAAATTATTTTTCTAGAATAATATGTCTCTTCTTTGGAAAACACATTCATACTTGCATAAAAGTGTAAGTATCAAGAAATACAACATTAGTTTTTTTAAAAAGATGCCACTGGAAAATTATCTAAGATATAAACCTGCAAGGTAATAATTCAAGATTAAAACTTTGAATCTCCTTATTGAAAAATAAAAATAAGTGAGAAAAGAAATAGAGACAAACGTAAGGAAAATGGAAAAACAAAGCATTCTATAAAATATTTAATATCTGAAATGGTCTAACATGTATTTCAAAATATGAAATATGAATACAAACTATACTTTTATCTTATTCATTGATAATACGTCTACGTAATTTAAATTTTTATTAGTGTAAACGGAATAACTTTTCGGGAAAGATTATAAAGCATACAGGTCTACAAAATGTTACCTGATAGTGGAAGAAAAGAACCTGAGGACTTGCAGTTTTAAAATTTAAAAGCTTATTGTATATTAAAAATTGAAATGCAGTAGAAAGTTACAGAATAGAAACTTATAAGTTAAGAAATTTTGTTGCATACATTATTCATTTCTTTTATCAAGTTTTAAATATTTGTTTTGATCACCATTCCTGGTCATGTGCATATTTTTTCTATAACTTAATTAGAAAAAGAATTATGATTCTTTTATGAATTCAGTTCTGGTTTTGCTGAAAAAAAGCTTTATCTATTCCAGCAAAGAACATGCACAAGAGACAGAAATATGGATACGTTCTTAATATTGTGTAATTAATTTTTGTTATCTCTGAATAATATGCTTATAAATCTAAGAGTTATATGAAAAAAGTTTTAAATAATAAAAATGGTTGAGAATTTTTTTTTATATGTTTTAGGCCAGTACTTCTCAACCTTTCTATCACCGCGGACCGGTCAACGTTTGATAATTTAACCGTGGTCCGCTGACGGCAAGACGTTGATGGTTTACATTTTAGATTTTGATTTAATAATTTTAATTTGATTGTGCGTAAATATCCCTTCACAATAAAATGATACCAAACCTGCACCAAATAATTAATCTAAAGTGATTTCCGTGGAAAGTTACAGAAATCCGTGAGAAATATATCACGGTAAATGTGAAATAGAAATACTTTAATGTTCCTTTGGTGGTTCAGTACCTTTTCATCCATGGCCCGGGTCTTAAGGACCAATGTTTTAGGCCAATGACTCTGTGTGAATGAAGTTTCCTAGATAAATCTTTTAGGTATGTCTTACGTTTGACTACCTTTGATCATGCACACAGTTCCCTAATACATTATGTAAAAGAGGTTTACCAAATTTTTTTTCAACAGTTATGTAAATTTCTAATCCAGAGAACAATCAAACTTTAAAAAAAAATCTCTACAATACTCTTTATACTTTTTTGTACCATTGACAAATAACACAAACTGCTGATTTTATTCAGAATTAAAAGCAATATAATACTCTGCTCTCTCAAATTTTCTCTTTAAAAACTTATTACGAGATGTGTTTTCATCAACAATTTGAAACACATTAACATCGGGCAAGCAGCATATTTTATTTCCTAAATGACAAAAATAATTATTGAAATAACACATAAATCTGATATTTTTTAATTCCCAAATGAGTTTATGGTAAAGTGATATAAATACTTTTATTGTAAAATATTAGTTTATGATTTACCGCTTCGTTTAAATGTAACTTTGCATCTATCTGTTGTATTAGGGAAATTAAATTTTTCTCAATTTTCTTATAATAGACTTTAAAGACGTTTGATATTCATTTTTATAATTTATATAGTCTTCATTTTTATCGAATATTTCTAGAAATAAGCATATTGTAGTTCGCGATTCATTGTCTGTTATTTTAACTACTTTTAAATAAGATTTATGAGTGTGATCTGAGAGTTTTGAACATAGAAATAAATTCTCATTGGCATTATAGTGCATGAAAAGTATTTTGTCTGACTCTAATTTTCTTGATTGAAATAGATTCTACTTTTCGAAAAGGAACTTCTTAACTTATAATACAATTAACCAACATCCTTTTTTCAATGTAAATTAAATTAAATTATATCAAACAATAATAAAAATAAAAGAATTCTGGAAATATTCATAATCAAAAACAATATTATAAATTCACAATCTAAGGCAAAAATAATAATTTTAGTTTTTTATTTTTATAAATAAAAATTTAACATTAAATACATTTAAGTTTTCCCCCCTTTACAAATGTAAGGATATCATGACAATGTAAGGCTATAATTAGCCCTATTTTAATTACAAATGCAACTTTTCTTAAAGAAAATATATATTTCATCGACATTTTTTTTCTTCTTCTTTATAAACTGACTAACGGATGGTATTGTATTACATAATCCTAATTTTGGGTATTTCACTTTTGGAATGTATTTTTTTCCTCGTTACTTTTTATCTACGTCTTGAATAAGAAATGTAAAATGTTTGTGTGTATATGATTTATTTCCACTTTGTTTTCTTTCATTCTTTTTTTATAGCGATTCCTAGTAACTTATATTTTTCTTAGGAATCCAATATATTTCTAAAATTTCAGATTATATCTTCATCAGAGCTTATGATTTTTCACACAAAAGATTAGTTTCCATCTTTCATAATCCTAAACGTCCTTTCTGATATCAGATATGCAGTTTTTTTTGTTTATTTATAACCACAAAAATTCATAAAGGCAACAAATACATTCTCTACTGAAATATCAACAAAAATTTTTTTTTAATTAAATAATTGAAATGTATGAAATGTAATGAATATTTGCAATGGGAAAGTTTGAGTGACTTTTGAGGAGTTTTATGGTGCAAGAGAGCCAACTACGGCTAAACTGCGCTAAGCACTTTATGAACTTGAAATGAGAGATAATTATGCATTTAGATATGTGTATAATATCGGAGGCCTAACGCTATAGTGGTTCTAACCCAGCGATACTCAACCAGTGGCCCACAGAGCATTTTTAAATTGCCCGGTCATGACCCATTGCTCTGAGAAATTTACTTATTTAAGAACATAGAATTAAAAATTTGGCGGAAAATTTTTTGTCAAGAAATCAAATGCATCCATTTTGCTTTTTGATGTCTATGTCGTACAAATGCGAATTGATATCCCCCTCTATTTGTAACGTTTACGATTAGTGGTAACAGACAACAGTGGAGTAGCGACAATTTTGTGAGTGGAACTAATTTTTAACTATCGTTCATATATTGCAAGCGAAAAATATTCGAAGAAAATACACCATTTCAAGACGATTGGGAGGTTGACTATTTTTTAGTGAAAAACTAATATGGTTCAGTAATTGTTTGATTTTTCACGAACGTGCTGTATTCAAAAAATTACAATAGATAGCACTTTTCCTCGAAGCTTTCTTTCGAGGTGATAAATAGGCTTTTTTGAATAATCTTTGCAACAGCAACAAAGTGTTTTGTCAGTGGTAATATCACTGCAGTTACAGACATTCTATCAAGTTTGTTATATTATTGATAATCATATGAAACCGTTTACTGATGCAGAAATTGTGAAGGAGTGATTCTTAATTGATTCCAATTTATAGTGTTAGAGACAAAAATAAAAAAAAAGTATTAAAAATAATAATTAAAGAAGCACAAAATAGGAGTTATAATATTTTGATCGATTTTCCACAATTTAAATTTCAAATGTTATCTTGGTCTTAAAGCATTTCTCCCCCTGTTGCGGCCCTTGTGAAATAACTAACATATGTATGCGGACCGCGTAAAATAACTGACATATATATGCGGCCCAGCAGAAAAAAAGGTTGAGTACCCCTGCTCTAACCCATTCCCAAAAGGATCAATTACAAAGGCCGTAATTTTAAATCTGTTACTTGTAATAAAGTAAAATTTTTGATTTTTATACTTTCTTTTAAAAAAGTTAATATTCGATTAACTAATATAAATTTTATCAATTTCCCCTTAAGCTACATAAGCCGTATATCCCCTTATAAACAAGGAATATGAAAGAAAAATTTAAGTCAATTCCTACTTAGGTTAACAAAGAAAATTTTCACTTCAGTTACTTTTTATTAAATCATTACAATTAATATAAATATGCATATGCATGTGACAAAATCTCAATATTAAGTGGCAAAATAGAAAGCGCTTTTTCTTTCTATGTATGGCATTGGATTATTACTTTTGCTTGTTACTATTTAATCATTCATAAATCACATTCTCAGAAATTAGGCCATCCCCGGTAGGATTCGAACCTACGACCTTTGGATTAGAAATCCAACGCGCTATTCATTGCGCTACAGGGACACAACGAGAGATTTCCCTTTTTATATATAGTTGTTGGACTATTATTTTTGTTACTATTTTTTCATTAAGTCTAACTAATAAATTAATACTTGAAAAAACTGTATTGACATCAAGTGTCCTCCACTACAAGTTTTAAAAAATGTATTTGAACTTGAATGCATGAATAGAAAGTATTTAACAATTGGAAATTTGAACAAGATATATATATATATAGGGAGCTTATGAACTAATAATAGGAATTGAATAAACAATAAAATTTGTAACACTTATTTTGAGACATCAGTTAAAACTCTTTTTCTCTACGAAATCTTTTTCGCCATACGCCCCTGAAGTATATATATATATATATATATATATATATATATATATATATATATATATATATATATATATATGTAAAAACAAAACTCTTCTTTTTTTTCTTTTCTTTTTGTTCCAACTTAATTGTCTGGGAGGAAAAATATCCTCTGCTATATCAAAATACCTCAAGAGAAACAATAAATTGATTCTTATTCATTCTGTATGAATTAGAGTGTATATGAATCAAGCTGTTTCAGATAAAATATATAAATTACTTTTGAAGTTGCAATAACTAACTTATATTGGCACTGATTCATTCTTATTGTCTATCATTTTTGTGCTTCAGGGCTAAACAACCATGACTAATTATTAACCTTACGCCTTGTGCAATAAATTAATCATTTTGCCGGAGGATGATATTTCAATAGCAGTTTTTCTCCTTTTGAAGATACATTCAGGTACATAAATTGATATTCGAATGCAAAGAAGCAGAATTAATGCTGCCATTTCTAATTAGTGAAACTTTTAAGAAAGTAATTGATTGGGGAAAAGATTCAGTTCAAAAAAGTTATTAAATTTAATAAAAATTATTATTTTGCTTTATTTAAAATTAATTTTAAACACCTAAGCACGATCATTTAATAGTTTGGAAGTGAATTATTCTTTTTGAAGCATAAAGTTTTAACAAAATTATGTTGTTTATATTATTTTGCACGTAAAAAATTTTAGGGAAAACATCATTAAAGCTTTAGAAATACTATTTTTTTAAAAAAAATTTAAAATATATAATGAAAGCACGTGTTACATATAAAGACTTAGTATAAAAAGAGTTCAAAGAAAAATGTAAAAAAGCAATAGATCAGAAAAGTAAATTTTTTAAACGAAAATCAATATGTACATTCACTTCCCAGAATTTATTTTATCAACATAAATTTTTAAAGATAACATTATAAAAATTTGGAATGACAAAAAAGTATCTTAAATAATAAATGACTAAAACATCTTATAAAATTTTTTTATTCAAAAATTATAAAATAAACTTTTGAAATTTAGGTATAGTTTTTACAAAATATATTATTAAATATAATCAATTTGAATATTCTTAGAAATACAACTGTTGTGAAAGAATTATCTACAACTTTCTCTGTAAATCCATTAACCCAGTCATAGTATAAATATATATTTATAAATTTATAGCATATTTTTTAATGTAAAATTCTTATTTTCATGTAATTTTGTACTTGTGTGACATTCTTATGCGAAAGGGGTCAACTGGATTTGGTGTAGGCTTTGCTGCTCCAACGGGATTTGTAATAACAATAATAATTTTGTATTTGTATTGTAGTAGTGTACTTATATACATTCAAGCATAATAAACTTTACTTTAAATTTAAAAAAAATTGAAATGTCTCTGATGTACAAACAATATTAAAAATTAAATAATATATATATATTTATATTAGTATCCTTTCAACAGTATTGTATGCTTATAAATATATATGCTACAAATTTATTCATTAATTTTTCAATTCCTACTATTAGCTCACACTCTCTATATATTTGTTTATTTATCTTGTTGGAATTTTCAATCGTTAATAAAATACATTTTAAAGCGCTCGATTGAGCTGAAATTTTATACACACGATTATTTTGGATGACAATACAGTAATTTAATTGTAGCTAATAAAAATTACTTGATTAAAACTAATTATTCAAAGAATTACAAATAAAACCACGTTGGCATCATTTTTGGCGACTTAGCGACCATTTTGGCGACTTGTGTCAAAACTTGAAAAGGTTTTTTTCTCACATTTTAAAGCTCTCATTTGAGCTGAACTTTTCTATACACTGTTGTTTTTGGTAAAAATACGATAATTTAATTAAAATTAATTGACTGAAGCTAATTATTTAAATAATTACAAATAAATGGTATATTATTCATATATATTATATTCATTTTTAGAGACTTGGGTCAAAACTTAAAAGAGTTTTTTTTTCACGTTTTAAAGCATTCAGTTGAACGGAAATTTTATATACACGATTGTTTTGAATGACAATACGATGCTTTAATGATAATTAATAAAAATTAATTACCACCTAATGTTGTGATTCTGTCCTATGTACGAATATATGCATATTTGTTTTAATTGTACTATTTAATAAAAAGTAGCTAAAATAAAATTTTTCTTTGTTGAACTAAGTAGGAATTGATTTAATTTTTTTATATTACTTGTTAATAATGTATCGAATTTGTTTATTTTTGTGTAAGAGAAGAGCGAGATTTTATTTTAAAATAAGTACATCTATTTTAATCAATAAGTAAACATTTTTGGTTATTCTAATAGTTTCTAAATTCTATTTTTAATGTAGATTATTTTTTTAAAAAAAATAAGCTTCACACATCACTTTTTTTTTCAAATTTTAAATGCAAGCTTTTGTTTTAATTCTGTAAAATTTTTCTAAAGAATTTTTCTCTTGGATTTTAATTATAAGGTGTATGACAACCGAATGCAATGGCGTACACAGACAACTTTTATGGAAAAGGTTCACAGTTTAAAAAACAAGTGGATGAAAGCGCTGAGGCGTAATCTTTATGGTAAAAATTAAAAATATCTTATTGTATGGGATGAGTTTGAACCCCTAAGACCCACACTTGCGTGCGATACTGACCGTAATGTATATAATATAACCACTCAAACTGGTATTGATATTAAGATATTTTCAATCTGAAAAAAAAATTCCTGCTTTCGAACTTTGGGGCAACCTTAAAAATTCAGTTGAACCTCCAAATAACGAACCTCTATTTTACGATTTTCCTTACGAAGTATATTTTCTGTATAATGAACTTTTTCTCTTGTAATTCGATTTTTTCTGTCTATTTTTAGAATATTTAAGGACATTATACAAATTATTTTGTATTTTAGCACATTTTATGGTGATCAAGGATCTTGAACTGATATTACCAGGTGCCTAACTCACCTAGAGAGCATTGAAATGAAACAAGAAACTCAAACAAAGCTAACATATTTTATCAGTAACTAAATTTAAGGGCGCATGTGGTAGTGTGTGCTTAAAATTACTGGTTATAAAATGATGTAACGTTTAAAAAATTACTTGCAGGCTTAAAATTAGAAAATTTCGTTAAAAATTCATTAGTTTTAATATAAAATTATTTTGTAAAATTGAAAATACACACACACAGTGTATTCCTGAACAAAGTCTTTTTATTATTTTTTTTGTTTTCTTTGCAGATTTATTTTTGATGTTATTATGGGTATTATGGGTAAGGGTAAGATGGGTATGGTAAGATGGGTAAAATGGGTATGGGTATTGTGGGGATGGTATTATGGGTAAGATATATTAAATGAACATATATTAAGTTTCAAAAAAAGTTTGAATAATTACTTTTTTAAAATTACCTATAATGCTTATGAAATTACAATTTTTTATGTAGTTTTTAAAGTATAATAAAACGTGAACTTCTATTTAACGAACTTTCCATATAACAAACTTTTTTTAAAGATTTAGTAACTTCCTTAAATATAGTTCCAACTGCATATGACTTAAAGATTTATAATTGAATGCAGTTCGTCAAAAGTCTTCATAATTGTTTCCAACTTCGCTCAGTCATTTAGAGATTGTTGTTGTGAAGTTGGCGGCGTATCAACTTATATTGTAACACACGTTAAATAAACTTTTAGCTTCGCAGCAGCCATTACTGGCATGAGAAGAAACTCTGTAGATTTTATATACTTAAAATTCAAATTTTTATATAATGTATGACTTTTAAATTTAATTTTCTTTATAAAATTAAACATTTTTCCATGTCATTATTTTTCTGCCTAGGTAGCCATGTTTTCCCGAGAATGTGTGTAAGTGACTGAATAAAAAATTACATTATAAGAGCTTCAATAAGCTTAATTTCATCGTATTTACAAAAAGTTCACATTATTGGAACTTAAAACAATTCAAAATGAGTAATACAATAGTATTTGTATAAATTTTGAGTTAAAAGACGTATAATTGTGTGTGTGTATTATTTAACTTTTTTTTTGTCTTTGAATATATTTAAGAATGAGAAAGATTTTTAATGAAACAATTAATTTAGATCGTAACAGTACATATTTCTCTGCATGTCTGCTTATTGTTAAAGAAAAGTATAAACATCAAATAAAGTTAATACATGTGCCTTATTAAATCCATTCTTATCGTTGGACTGCCGCAGTATCGTTCAAAATGTATTTTAGGAAATTTTCTGTCAGCATTTCCCGAGTAATCAAGTAATTAAAATTATAACAAAAAGTACAAGTATAATTGCTTACTTTACGAAAAATATGCTTCAAAAACAAACCTGAGAAACAATCTCATTCATATACGTGTATTTTTATATTTTCTGAATGATTTAGTAATATATTTTATTATTACTAAAGTCTTACCTACTCTATTACAGAAATTTTGTCTATAAAGAAAAATGTTTTTAAAAAGCAAACATTATTTTTAACACCATATTTCGAGAACTTTGAAGTTAAAAAGCGCATTTTAAACTTCAAAAAAAAATTTATTTCAAGGATTAAAGTACTGTTACACTAATTTGTGATTTTATAGAATTATTTTAAAGGCATAAAAACAGACTACAAATCCTTAAATAGTAGTGAAATGTAATTTTAATTTTAATATTATAATCATTTTTTCTAACTCAA